GTATCTCACTGTATTACACGAATACCATTTTAGTAATTTAATTACTAATTTGGAAAAGAAATCAGACCTTATATTTATAATATCGATTGATACTTACATAATCAATTCCATAATAAATCAAATTTCAGAATTTGTTATTATTTATAGAAAAATAAATAAATTAATTGGAAAAAGTGCACACCGGATATTTACAGATAAATTATTTAAATAAAAAACATTACGTCATGTTTGGTTTGCATAAATAAAATGAATTTGTGGGTATTTGGATTTTAAATCCATTTCAATCTCATGTTTAATTTGTTGGATTGTTCATATTTGAAATATTAAAATCTAATTGAAATTTTATAAACATAGGATTTTGAAATCCTTTTGTGATGTTCGGGATTTCACGGGATTTCGTAGGATTGTATGAATTAAAGTTATAATAAATGTTAAAATCATTTTATTTTATAATAATCGATTAATAAAAATGTAATTTAATTATTTTAGAACACCGTATGATATAACACATAATTTAATAATTATTATATATGTAAAATATTGATTTTGATTCTCTGGTTTTTTTGTTCATAAGCTGTCTTATAAACCTTATTGTAAACTCTAATTAATAATTAAACATTTTTTAATTGCATATTAAAACATTAATAGCAGGGACCGACCTAACTCTTGCTTGAAAGCAAACCATCGGCTAACGGTCACCCCGGGCCCTGTCTAAAGATGTACTAAAAAACCGCAAACTTACAACCGAACGCAAACTCTTCTGCAGACGAGAAATAGAAAAAAAGTTCCCCCATTAAATTTCATTAAATCAAACGTTGCCTTTTATTTTGAATAATGATTAATTAATTATCGAAATTTTTGATCTTATAAACTATAAATTATATATTGACTGGTTTGTTTGGGAGTTGTTGAATGGTTTGGTGTCAAATGATTAAGTGATTAGAATAATTAAGAGATTCTCATGATATAGTGCAAAATGTAATATAACTGTTTGGTAATTTTTACAATGAAATTAGGGCGCTGAATGGTTAAGGGAGGCACAAGATACAAAACACATTCAGAATATTTTAGAACCATTAAAAGACAAACTTTTTTTTTTTCAAATAAAATTCACCTCTTAACATTTCAAATGTTGAATTTTAATGAAACTATTAAGAGGTAAACAAACAACCCCCTTAATAGTCATCATATATATGAAAGTATTAATCTGTTGGTTATTAATAGAAGCCCAATTTTCATTCCTGATTAAACTGAGGGGGATGAAAATTAATTCTCATTCTCATTCCTCAGCATGAACCAAACAGACCCTTGAATTAGAAAACAATCAAGATATTTATGGAACCAAATATTTGTTAGCTTAGATGGACAGTTGTGATTGATTTATATGAATTTGAAGATTTGCAAATAACTACGTTTGGTACTGTTGAAATGCTTTCAAGTGATATGGATTTTGTGGAAGGATTTGAAATATTTGGTGTGTAAAACTTGGAAAGAAATTAGATTCCATTATTTGGTATGATTGGTTTCCAAAAGGGAAAATTGCATCAAAATGGAACCAACTTTTACCTGATTTTTATTTTGGGGAACCAACTTTCAAAATCGTTATTTTGGGGAACCAACTTTCACTTGATTCTTATTTTGGGGAACCAACTTTCAAAATCGTCATTTTGGGGAACCAACTTGCACCTGATTCTTATTTTGGGAAACCAACTTGCAAAATAATTATAGAAAAATGAGAAAATTACATAAAAATGGAACCAACTTTTACCTGATTCCTATTTTGGGGAACCGACTTTTAAAATCATCATTTAAGGGTCTCTATCAAACTTTTTGTTTATTTAAGCGTCTGGTTGATCTGTTGAACAAATAATAGGTAATTTAAGGATCTCTATCAAACTTTTGGTTGAATTTGCCAAATTTGATTTTAAACTTTAATATTGACACAGATTGGTTAGATATAAAAATCTTGAATGTGATATTTAATATTTATTTTTATTGCATCAATTAATTTTTTTCTATTAAATTGATTTTTTTATTGTATTAATGAAAAACAATTTTTATCGTGGTAATTTGGATTTTTTTTTTCGAAAAAATCTTCAATTTGATATTTGAATTAAAAAAAACGAGATTAGAAATGAAAAATAGATTTTATTGCATTAATTTTTGAAAAAAAACGAATTTTAGTTATTTTTCTATAATTTTTTTTGCAAGTTGGTTTCCCAAAATAGAAATAAGGTGCAAGTTGGTTCACTAAAATGACGATTTTGAAAGTTGGTTCCCAAAAATAGGAATCAGGTGAAAGTTGGTTCATCAAAATAGGAATCAGGTGAAAGTTGGTTCCCCAAAATGACGATTTTGAAAGTTGGTTCCCCAAAATAGCAATCAGATGAAAGTTGGTTCCATTTTGATGCAATTTTCCCTTTCCAAAATCATTTGAACGTATTTTAAAATATTATTACATACAAATCATACATAATGCCGTAAGATACCAATCATTGCTTTCGGATTTCAAAATCTTATGTTTGTGGGATGTGAGACCTTTTATTCAGAACACATAAAATTGTGATAATATTGAGAATTAGTACATCATATGTTTTTTCATATGATTTTTTTCCATCAATATCTAAAAGTTAATTTATTGATTAACATATATTTGTTTCATAAAGTATTTGTTTCACATGTACCTGGTTCACAATATGAACCATTTTGGTGTGTTTATGAAACAAAAAAAAAAGTAAAAAAAAAAAGTGCACATTATGAAGTGAATACATATGAAACAAACACACTGTATAACAAATAGGGCAAAATGCATAAAATAACAATTTACTATCATAAATTTCTTTATTATAGCATTGTACTTTCAGTTTTTCTTATTACAGCAATGTACTTTCAAATTGTTTTTTATTAGGACACTGTACTTTGAAAAATTTACCCATTATAGCATTGGGTAACATTTTGATTTAAATTTACCCATTATATATGTTTCCATGTCACCTCATTGTCCATGTAGGCTGTCCACATGTACTATAGTGATGTGACTTTTTTACTACATCATTGTACTTTCAAAATTATTTTATTATATCATTTACTAGTTCTTATTAAACACTATTTTTAATTTTAATATTTAGATATTTTACATGTTTTTTAATAAATGTATTAAATGAATTAAAAAAATTCTAAATTATTCATTAATATACCAATATTAATAAAACTAGTAGAACACAACTTATCTCGCTAATATTTAAAAAAAATATGTGTTTTTTGAAAAAAAGAAAATAAGAATTTTTTTTTTTACCAAAAAATATTATCTTTACTTGACGAATATATTATATTTGTTTAAAAACTTTTTACTTGACGTATAAATATATTAAATTAATTAGATTTTTTTGAAGTATTTATTAATATAACAATATTAAAAAATTGTAGATAACAATTTATTTCGTTAATATTTTAAAGAGAACTTTAAAAGATATATATTTATTTGAACAACATAAAATAGGAAAAGTTGTTTTTTTTACAAATAAAATATATCTCAAAAATAATGTTGTATATTTATTTAATAAATATTTTACTCTAAGAATATTTAATTTAAATGCAACTTAATAACAAAAAGTAAAAAAAAATTAAATGTTTTTTTAGATAATAACAATGAAAAATGAAAATCACTAATAATAATTTGAAATATGTTTTTATTTTAATTTTAGTTAAGTCATCAAAATGATGTGTCATCCACATCACATCATTAAAGCCACACAAGCAAAAAAGTCAAAGGATTAACCGGTTTAAAAGGTAACATGTTACCCATTACTATTATGGGTACATTTTTTAAAGTACAATGCCTTAATAAAAAATAATTTGAAAGTACATTGCTGTAATAAATAAAAACAAAAATAGAATGCTATAATTTTTTTTTTTTGTGAAAATAGGTTGCTATTTCATGCATTTAACTCTAACAAATATATGTTAATCAATGCATTAAGGGTGTGTTTGGTGTCAGGACATGATAGAACAACTGTTCAACGTTTGATAAGATAAAATTAGACAGAACAGAACAAGTAAAATGACTAATTTACCTCCGATGAATTGTTTATTTTAATTAGTTTATGTAATTTATTAAATTATAATAGAATAATTAATTTTTATAGCAAAATATATCATTTCAAGTTTTCATCAAAACAATTAAAATGACACCAAATAAAAAGTTTATGTAGTTTTCTATTTTTATTTTTTATCTCTTTTCTACATTATTTATTATTATTAATATATAATAAATTACATAAAATTAATAAAAATATAGAAACCGTATAAAAATAATATTTTGAGGACAGTAAAATGAAAGTTTAAAAAACATAAAATACGATAAATAAAATTTAAATAATGAATAAAATGTAAAAAAAAAGACCTATTTGATGTTTTAGAAGAGAATTAAGTTTTATTTTGAGATTATATTGGTAAAATATAAGTATGTTCCATCTTATTCCACCTTGTTCCATGGGGTAGGGGTGGAACAGACCTGTTTCACATAAAATTCATGTCAAACATGGGACATGGATCTCTGTCCTGTCATTGTCCAGTGTACCAAACGCATCTTAAATACTATATCTATATATAAAAATAATAATTTAAAATAAAACTTTAAGGTAGAAGTTTTTTACAAATCTCATAAATTTTAAAGTTCTCAAATGATTAAACCCAAAAAAAATCTCGATGATATAAATGATTTCAAATATAAAAAAAAATCCTTAAAACCAAATATGAGATTAAAATATTCACGCAATTCGAAAATCTTACTTAAAAATACAAATAAGTTATTTATAGATAAATATTTATATATAAGTAAATAGTATCTTAAATAAAAAAAAATATTATATAAAATAATTAATTTCCAATAAATCCATCGGTTATAAATGGGACCCACAAGTCCTCTAAACATCACCATCACACCCACCACTATTCTCCTATTACCCACTTGCATCCTTCTCTGCTCTTTCATTAGAGTATTTATCTTCATTCCTCTAAAAACCTAATTCACCCAAATCCGCCATGAAAAAGATCAATGTGATGCTTAGAAAGTGCAAAACGCTATCGAAACAATTAAGAAGGAGTTCTTCGAATCTCAGTTCGGGATCTAAATCTGCTAGACATCATCAAGACGGAGCCGCCGCAGGCGGCGGAGGAGGCGGTGGAATAATCTGGAATACTAATGCTATTTCCGTCTATGGAAGCGACGGTAATGGAAGTGGAAACGAAGAAGAGCCTCGAGAAATTGTATTCGTTGGAAGCACGAGGAAACGGTACGTGATTAGTTCGAAGTATTTGAGTCATCCACTTGTTAATGCTCTAATCGAGAAATCGAAGCCGGCTGGTAATGGTGAAGTATCGGTAATCAATTGTGAGGTTGTACTTTTTGATCATCTGTTATGGATGCTTGAGAATGCCGATTTTAATGTGACTTCTGATTGTTTGGACGAATTGGCTGATCTCTACTCTTCTTGAGGGATTCTCTAAATCGCATGAAACTGTGAAACAAGATCTATAAAAATTTTAGGTTTTCAAATGTGGACGAATTAGTGCATCCATCTCAAAAGTCGTGATGATTTCATGCATTAATTTGTTTCATTGATTCATGAATTTAATTTCTCGTTTATATGTATATGTAGTTTAGCACTATTTGTTAGTCGATTCATCGATCTTCTTCCTCTGAGTTCGAATATATCATCAATGGTTTAATTAAATAAGTTCTTTTTCGATTTTACGTTTTCATCTTCATATATATTTAGTTTCTTCTCAGGAAAAACAAAATGTGATAGAAAATGGAAGATCCTTCATGATTCGTGGTGCTTGTTGAATTAGGGTTTTCGTTCAAGTTTGCTATTGGTTTTGAGTTTGAATAAGGTAAAAATAGGTAAATATTGACATTGATATATGTATTCATCGAAGAAACAGTGTTCGAGTTATACACAACTTTTTTGACTTCAAAATGTAGTACCAAAATTCATTTTTTATATCACTAAGCTACTGTGAAAAAATCATGTATAATTGATCAAATAAGTAATTAAACTCATTAAACTGTTAATAAAGAAGTACTAAATTAACCCTACTCCGTAGGCTTCTTAAAAAAACTGTTTGGAGATAAAAAAAACAATCAAACCAATCCGAATCATTTTTTTTTGTAATTTGTATAGTTTAGTTTGAAAAATGGTAAAATTGTGAGTTGGAGATATGCCCTAAGAGTGTGGGTAAAAGAGGTAGTTTTTGAATCGTTAAGAGGTGAATTTTGTTTGGTAAAAGAAAAGTTTGTTTTTTAATGATTTTAAAATTATCTGAATGATTTTGTATCATAGGCTTCCCATAATCATTCAACGCCCTGATTTCGTTATAAATAATTACCAAATAATTATATTTCATTTTGCACTATATCATGAGAGCTTCTTAATCATTCTGCATCAAACCATTCAACAACTGCCAAATCTTAGTTGTTTTATGTTTTTATATTTTTTCTCTTTTTTTTCCTTTTAAATTTGGAGATTTTTTGTTCTTTTTTTTTTTCATTTCATATTTTTTACATAACTGTTAGAACAATTTTATAAATGTAACAGTATATAAAATCAAAATGTTATCATTTTCAGAATACTTTGTTAAAGAATTGAGTTTGATATAGAATTCCATACACCAATTGTAATTGTTTATATAAAGCTGTGCATTATCAATACACAACCAGTTGTAGTAGATATGTTCAAAAAAACTGTACCGTAATCTGTTATAACATGATATGATGCAATAATTTGTGTGTATGCCTATTTGGAGCACCCGAAAGGCCCAAAAATCCTTCGATGGACGTGGAAAAATGTCAGTGATGTCAGTTTAGACAGAAAAATATATTTTTACAATTTTCAGATATAAAACAACTAAACATCTTGTTCATGAAGTTGAATACATTTGTTATAGGCAATGGACTTCATTTTTCTGTCAATTGTAATCATTTGCACGTTGCATGGTTGTTTCACATATAAAAGAACAAAACAACACATGTTAAAAATATTGTATTGTTTACATGTTTTGTTGATAATTATCAATATCTATTATATGACAAAAACTCTTTAAAACCCATCTTTTATACATGAAATACTATTTATTGATGCATATTAATTAAAATTCAATATTACAAGTAAATTATGTTTAAGTACAACTTATTTAGCTTCATGTTTGAATTCGTGTATCAAATAACAAATAAACTCACATACCATCCTTAAATTTTTGTGAGGTTTGAACCCTTAATTTTCTAGAAGGTCAAAGACTCACATATCAATAGGCCAAATACCTTTTGGTGTTATTTATCCTTTTAACTAGTCATTACATAAAAATAACATTATATAACTCTCTCACAAACAATTTGCTCAATACTCTGATGCCATCATCCAATCGACAGCGAATGGGATTGTTCGATTGAATCATATATCATATGTAACATATTAAACATTTAAGTATGTGGTTTACATGCGATAATGAAAGAAATGCATTGCATCTTTGATACTTATATTTATAGGGCAAATTGAATGAAAAAGTAACATAATTTAACTTGATCCTTGTTTTGGGTAACATACTTTCAAAACTTTTATTTTGGTACACAAGATGTAAAGTTTTAAACATTTAAGTATCCGGATAACCGATTGAAGTATTAACCGGTTATCATGTTGATGTAGCGAGTGATGTGATATCTAGCAGTATTATTTGCTGACGTGGTTAGTGCCATTAATTTTTTTTAATCTAAAATTAGTCTTCAATCGGATACCTGAATGTTTAAAACTTTATATCTCAGGTATCAAAATGTATGTTTTGAAAGTACGTTAACTAAAATACAAATCAAATTAAAGTATGTTACTTTTCATACAATTTACCATACTTCTTATAAAGTATTTTGATCTAAATGTTTGAGATATTACAACAAAATAAGAATCAAACCAACATAAATTATATTTTCATGAAATTTGCTCTTTCTTAAACAAAAAAGTTAAATGGCAATTTTTGTCCCCATGGTTTACATCAGTTAACGTGAGGGGCAATTTTGTCTATTCATCATCTTTTTTCTCAACTTTCATTTTTAATAATTGATTTGATCCCTTAAACTACTTTTCATTTTACAACATATTTGGTTCTTCAAACTACTTTTCATTTTTTATAACAGATTTGGTCTCTCAAACTGCTTTGCATTTTAATAACAAATTTGATCCCTATGGTTCAGGGGCCGTATTACAATGATTAAAAGATAGGGGAAATTTTTGTCAAAGTAATAAACTTGATGGATGTTTTTTGCAATTACACCTGAAAAACAAACACACAAAACTCATCACTAATGAAAAAGAAGTTGCTGCTCGATGGTTCGGAGGGACAACAGCCGCACCGGAATCGTATAACCGAGAAATTAGGGGTTTTTTTTCGAACGATATCGACGAGTAGAACAAGATCTAGATTTCTGTCTGTAAACAGTACAATCTGCTATACATCCATTGATTTCTAGGGAAGCAGTTGTCTGAGTTTGATCAGAGTTTTTGAAATTGCAATGGCTGTTTGAGTGAATGTTTCCATTGAAGAACAAGGTACGTAGATTGATGCTTTTTTTATAGATTGATTTGTGAAATATCTTACCTAAGTTGTTTAGTTTCCCGTGCAATTCGTTTTTTCAAGGCTTGTCGTTGTTTTTGAGAACTTCCCGACGAAGTTTCACCGCTTCCGGTGGTCTTTTTGCTTCTTTGTTGTAATATGAACTGTTCATTTGACGTTATCTTGTTTTAGATCGATATATTATCTCTGTTGTACTTAAAAATATTTTTGATGCTGTATTCAGGCTGTTAAACTCAAATTTGGAGCTTATTTAACTTCCACAACCTGATTGAAGGTAAATATGCTTGTTGAATCAATGGTGATGCAGTTATGTTTATTAATGGTGCAATTGATTGGTTTGACTATTGATTATTATTAATGAATCCACTTGGAATTTATTGTTGAATTAGAGGTGATCTCTCAGCATATCTGTAGCTTTCCTTTACAGAAGCTTATTAATTGTTTGTTTATCTTCTTCTCCAAATGGAAATTCTTTAAAGTGCATCCTGCATCACTCATAAGTGCTGGTCTAGCATCTTTAAGGGTCTGTTTGTTAGCAGCTTAATGAGCTTAATAAGACACAGCTTATTCGGTCAGCTATACATGACCGTTTGGTAGTGGCCTAGTGATATAGAAAGTGACTTATTCAATAAGTGTTTAGGGGGAGCTTTATGCATAAAGGCAAGTTTTTTCCAAACCTGCCCCCTCTCAAATAAAAAACACGCTTCTTTCGTATATGAAAAAGACCTCCCAAACAAAAACTTTCTCAATCTATACAAATTAACCTACACAGGCAACTTTATCCATAAAAGGCTTAACAAAAAACCAACCAAACAACCCCTAAGCTCTTGAGATTGTAGGAAAGGGCACATGTACAGATGACTGATTTTCATTTTATTCTTGATGAAGGCATGAGATGGCAATGATTTTGTTCTTTCTCAATCTGTTAAATATTGTTGATCATTATGTGTAAAAAGTCTATCAATCTACTAAAGATGAATATCAATGTTCAACTTGGAACTATTTTATAAAATAGTTAATTGTTATGAACAGTTAATTGTTGAATAGGTGCTAATTATGAAAGTTTTACATATGTTCAACAAAATACAGAAGAGGAGAAATGTAAATGATTGACAAATTGAATTGTATTCTTTCTAAGCATACCATTTGGTTTATCTTATCTGACAGGCAAATGACAACACTATTTATTGAAGCTGAAAAGCTTAGGATTGACTTTTAACTTGGCAATTCAAATGAATGGGCATGATTGTGATTTTGGATGTAAAGGCTAGCATGTAAAATCCACCCAGAATAATTAAGGGACTGTTTGGTTGGTTTTCCATTAAGTCCTATATGAATAAAGTTGTCTGTGTGGATTAATCTGTCCATAGAGATTGGGAAGGTCTTTGTTTGGGATAGTTTTTTCATAGATGGAAGAAGCTTGTTTTTTTCATTGGGATGGGCAGATTCGGCAAAAACTTAGCTTTCAGCATAACTCCCCCCCCTCTAAAAACCTACTGAATAAGCCACTTTCTATATCATTAAGCCACTACCATAGTGTCACATATAGCTGACTGAATAAGATGTGAATCCCATTAAGCTACTAACAAACAGGCCCTAAGTGACTTGTATGAAATCCATATCGTCAGATTTGAAATAATATTGCTACTGTTTCTGGTTCATCTTTTTCTGCTATCTTGGGATTGAGTCAACTGCCATGTCTGTAATTTTCACCCACTTCAATTAACCATCGATGCATTTGCCTAAACTTGAATGGTTAGTTATAATGTTTATTATGATTGTATTATAATTGATTTTGACTACAAATAACTCTGCTTTTTTCATAATGCAGCCCACATTTACTGAAGTACATCTTGTAGAGAAATAAACCATCTTCGTATTTAACATCTCGAAAGCAATTCATGGCTGGCAATGGCCCGCCAACCTTAGGCCGTGTGAAGCTCACAGACTTGATAGCTTCTGAAGGACTTCCTTCCGACACATATAAACTGTCGGTTTCAACTCTCTCACAATCACTTGCTCAATACTCTGCTGCCATCATCCAATTGCCACCTAGTGACGGCGCTCTCTTAAGGTGTTGCCTGGAATCCGCTCGACCATACTTTACTCAAAAACCTGCATACCCACCTGCAAATATGATTCACATTAACGACTCCCGTGAATGGTGCAAAACCTCTGGATACTCTGCAGATCCCCAGTTGTGGCAAGAAAGTTACGATTACAGACCTGGGCTAACTTCCATAGAAAACCACAATGAAATTGAACTCCCACCTGCTGGGTTGGCTGACATATTCGTGCTACTGGGAAAAGCAGCCCGTGATATCCTCGATGCAATCAGTTTTTATTTAAATCTACGTAGCTGTGCCTTCACTGAAATACTTGATAATATTCCTCTGAGAAATAGGGAAATTTCATCTTCGGTGTTGTCGGTTGGGTGTCACGCGAGGCCTTCTTTTCAGGGAGGTCAACACCAAAACTTGACTACCCAAGAGGATGGGCAGCTAGTTATGTTCTCGGACCGTGAGCATCAAGTTGACAAAAGTCTTATATCGCTTATTAAGTCAGATAAAGCGGGTCTTCATATCCGAGATTTTAACGGTCGTTGGGTGCTTGTGGACGGTGATCTTGGTCCCGAAGAAGCTATTGTGTACCCTGGACTTGCTTTGTACCATGCTACGGCTGGCTATGTCAGTCCTGCACTTCATAGGACCGATATCGGCAATTTACATGGTAACATGTGTGGGCGGTGTTCAATTTCGTTCAAACTCATGCCTAAATCGATGACGAGTCTTAATTGTTCGGAAATGAGAGCGGCTGGTCATGGTGTTGAAGCTCAGTTCCAGGTTCCAGTATCGGTTGATGACTTTATGCAGAGATCACACTCGTTGGATCAACTTTTTAACAGAAACAGTTTCCCGAGTTTCAGTTTTCCTACAGCCCAAGATGGTCAGTGCTTTTTTAACATAGAAATTTCAACACACGTATTCATTGTGTACATTCTTTATACCAATCGTTTGCCGAAGCAGTTCTTAATTTTCACCTTCTTGTTGGGTACTTGTTTTTTCTTTCTTTCGTACAACCATAGTTGTTAAAAGCGCGCCTAGGCTCTGAGGCTCAAGGTCTTAGGATTTTGTAAAGTCGAGGCTTGGCGTATTCACGAGGCTCACTAAGGCGCTGCGCCTCGGCTGAGGCACCTTGTGGGCCTAGGCACGCCTCATAAAGAGTTATTAAATCCCCAGTCAAATCCTAATATTGAATAAGTTTTCTGGTCTTCTGATCTTAAAGAAAGAGTTATTAAATAGATGACATACGTCAAATCCTAATATTAAATACCCAATCCTTAGAACTTCATGCCTCCTTCTCTAGGAATACCCAGAACTTAGAACTTCTCCTTCACGGCTCACGCTTTAAACCCCCTTCAGCATCTATCAAATTAATGTCGGTTGCTGTATTGGAGGCTTGTACTTGCTGCATATTTGAGTTGTCTGTATCTGTGTGTGTATATAAGTATATATATCTATATTGATAAGATGTGGTTTGCATTCTTGAGGCCCGCGCTTCATGCCTGCACTTCGCACCTAGGCCCTGGGAACCCTTTGCGCCTAGGTGCGCCTTGAGCTTTTAACAATTTTGCGCATAGTTCTTAAAAAGTGGGCCTAGCTCTGAGGCTCATAAGGCTCAAGGTCTTGGGCTTCTCAAAGTCGAGGCTCACTAAGGCCCTGCGCGCGCCTTGGTTGAGGTGCCTTGTGGGCCTAGGCGCGCCTCATAAAGAGTTATTAAATACCAAGTCAAACCCCAATATTGAATAAGTTTTATATCTTATCTCTTAGACTTCTTAAAAAAAATTATTAAATAGATGATACAAGTCAAACCCTAATATTAAATACCTAGTTCTTATAACTACAAGCCTCTTTCTCTATAAATACTTGGACCTTAAAACTTCTCCCTTATGGCTCACTCTTTAAACCCTTCTCCCTTCTGCCTCTTATCAAAGTACTGTTGGTTGCTGCCTGTAGTGCTTGCTACCTATTTTGAGTTGTGTATAACTGTGTGTGTGTGTATATATATCTTTTTTATAAGATGCACCTCACATTCCTGAGGCCCGCGCCTTGCTTATAGGCCCCGGGATCCCTTTGCACCTAAGTGCGCCTTGAGTCTTTAACAACTTTGGCCATTAGACTTACAAATTCTTCTGTTGACATTATCTTTCATCATAAAGTTGAATTATAATTTATTTTTTTTGTACTACTAGCTCTTAGTAAGAAGTTTCTTAACAACAGGTCCTTAGCCGATGCTATACTAATACAGGATCTATGAAACCGTTAATGAAGAGAAAGAAGAACAATTCTCGGTGTAAACCGTTGCCGCCCTCTAAGAGATTGCGGCTTGAAGCGCAGAGAGTCCTTAAAGAGCGGGTTCAAGACATGGCTGATAAGAAAGGCATTAAGCTCCGATTCTGCACCCTAAAGGAGTGTGAGAGTCACATCCACACGCTCGATAGCCCGTGTGCCAATATACGATTGGAGATTGGATGGCCCCCGGGAGTTCCATTTGTTCATCCCCATGACTTACCCAATAAGGCAAAGATTGGATTTCTTGAAACATATGAACCTGGTTGGACAGCCAATCATGATATGGAGCTTAGTTTGATTGAAGCTGGACAGTCAAGTCAACATGCTGAAAATTGTAACTATTCTCACCTTTCTATTCTATTTATTTTATATTGATGCTGGTGGGCGTGAAGGCCCGGGTTACAAATCGGATCCGGATAAGGACCGGTTACAATTTGACTGGTTAAAACTCGGATCAGATTCGATTTTTTTTAATGACCAGTCGGTTAGGGTGCGTTTAGTATGCGGACGGGAGAGAGATGTAGGTGGGTGAAAAATTGTGGATGGTTTTAGGGTTGTAGGGCCTGTTTGTTAGCTGCTTTATGAGCTTAGTGAGACTCATGGCTTATTTTGCCGGCTATACATGACTGTTTCATAGTGGCTTAATGATATAGAAAGTGGCTTATTCAGTAAGCTTTTGGGGGGAGCTTTATGCAGGAAGCCAAGATTTTTGCAAAACTGTCCCTCCCAATTAAAAAACATGGTCCTTCCATACATAAAAAACCCCTCCCAAATAAAAACCTTCCCACTCTATACAGACAAATTAATCCATATACACAACTTTATCTACACAAGACTTAATGGAAAACCAACCAAACCCCCCCCCTTTTTTTTTGACATAGGTAGTTCATTAATTTACCATTCTTGTCTCGTCTTTGATTTTTGTTCCACCTATTTTGATGGGACAAGACTTTTGTCCCATTAACTTTTCTTCTCTATCAGTCTAACGTCGCACCATATGTGGAACAAAAGGTTTTTGTTTTGTCTGTCTCATGTACCAAATGCACCCTTATGTTTACCCGTTATGACCAACTTTTTTAAAAACCCATGTGGCACTCACCCATTGGTCAATGGACCAATTACAGCGGTCAGGGCCTTGAGGACCGGTCACACCAGTCCATATCAGTTTCTCATTATGGTCTACAAACCAGTTATGTCGTAATTGGTTAGTGGTGATGATTTTTGACCAAAATTGGTTATAACCGGTTAGGGTGCGTTTGGTACACTGGATAGGACAGAAGAGAACATAGATCACTATTCTACGTTTGACACGATCTTTATGTGGAATGAGTGGAAAAGGTGTGTTCCACCCCCACCCCATGGAACAATGTGGAACAAACCTATATTTTACCAATATAACCTCAAAATAAAATCTAATTCTCTTAAAACATCAAATACACCTCCCTTTTTATATTTTATTCATTTTTTAAATTTTATTTGCTGTATTTTATGCCCTTTAAACTTTCACTTTATTGTCCTTAAAATATTATTTTTTTACAGTTTCTATATTTTGATTAATTTATGTAATTTATTAGATATTAATAAATAAAAAAATAACTTTATTTTGGTGTTATTTAATCGTCTTGACGAAAACTTTCTAACGATATATTTGCTATAAAAATATTTATTTTATTATTATTATTTAATAAATCACATAAATTAATCAAAATATATAAACGACTCATTAAGAGTAAATTAATCATTTTATCTGTTCTTCCTGTCGTCCAATTTTGTTTTACCAAATGCTGAACAATTATTCTGTCTTGTCCTATCCTGTCTGGATACTATACCCTTAAGGAACCGGTCATAACCAGTTTATGCCCATTTCAATCAGCTGCTTGTTATTGTTGCTTATGCCTTTACGTTATTAGAAATATACTTGTTACTTAACCGACTGCTGCTTTTCCTGTTAACTTCGTATACTGGATCGGGTTTTGTTGCAGGAATGTCTCCTACTTTCAAGATTGAGCTGTGCGTGCTGCCAAATGCTCTCTCCTCCTGCTGTCTGAACAGTATGTAGCTCATATCTTTTAAGTTAAATGTCCATAGAAACTGCTATGCTTTCGGGTTTTTTTGACCCCTTAATTTAGTACGCTAAAGTTATCTCGAGTGCTTTCGTTCGGTACCTCCAGTAGCCTGATCTAGGGTTTAAATCCCTTGTGAATGTAGTAATTATCCTGCTGATGATCGTTGTTGATTGTCATCCATTAGTCACGACTTTTGGGATCGTTTGTAGGACTTGTCTTCAGTTTCTTTGGTGCCCGCGAGTTTCATCATGTTTCATTGTTAATCGAGTTTTTTGTATTAGTTCAAACAGTCATTTTATCAGATATGATATGCAATTAGAGATGCACAAGGGCAGGCTTATTCGGGTTTGGGCCTTCCAAGCCCGTTTTCAGTGAGAAAGAAAAGGCCTGTGCGGGGCTTTGGGTTGAAAAGGGCCCGATCGGGCTTTGGGTTCACTTGGTCTGTTTTTTTTGGGGTTTTGGGTTTTTTTGTGCATCTTTCTATGCAATAACTCTGAAGAACACAAAAAAAACAAAGAGAAAGGAAAAGATGGGCTTTACTGAACCAAATGGACATGACCATACTTTATGATTCAGTTACCATTTCATTTAGGTCTCGTTTGGTTTGCAGGAGTAGAATGGATTTGGGAGATTTGTAATTCCAATCCATTTCAATCCCATGTTCGGTTTGTTGGATTGTTCGGATTTGAAATCTTACGATTTAATTAAAAATGTACAAGGATTTTCATAGGATTGTATGTAATAAGGTTCTAAAAATGTTAAAAACATTTGTTTTGTAATGATCGATTAATAAAAATGTAACTTAATTATTTTTATAAAGTATTTATAAATAATGGAATCCAATTCCAAATCCTACAAACCAAACATACCAATGATTTCAAATCCCTTTATGAAATTCAAATCATTCAAAAACAATCTTGCAAACCAAACGGACCCTTAGGGATGACAAATTTGTGATGCTTGATTAGCAGAAGCCGATGATTGTTGTCCATTTGTTACCGTATTCTGTATGCAAACTCAAAACTTCATTACTTCAACATCATACTTTCATTTCATTTTAGTTCATACAGTAACTTCATAAACTATATTCTTAAGGAAGTGTTCTTTACGTTTTGTTTAACTCAGGGGCTATTTACTAAACGCTTATCCGACAAGTGCCTCCGGGTTACTTTACCCCCATTGAATGAACATAACAAGGATTGATAGTCTTACCCATTAAGAGCGATAAAAACGATTCATAGTCTTATCTGGTAAGTGAGAGTAACGACTTTTAACCGGTAAGCGATTACTGGATAAAAATGTACCATACAATGCCGTTTTAATGGACTAAAACCTTACCCGGTAAGTTGAGTGAAAGTGTTGACTCTTACCAGTAAACGCTTATCCGATAAGTGTTGGCTAAAGGAAACTTTACCATACGTAAAATGACTATCATAAGAGAAGTATAACGCTTCATGTCTTAACCTTCTTATACCTTGACTTGTTAGTTCCTCTCTTTTTATTATACCTTGACTTGTTAGTTCCTCTCTTTTTATTATACACTTATGTACAGTGGAGATGTATATGACAATTACAAGGTTTATTTATTTATTTGTTTTTTCTTATTAACCTGCATATCCAACCTGCTATGACAACTTGCTTCGCGGGTAGCCCGTAGTCACCACATTTGAATCTCCGTGCCTACAAGGGGATTTTTATTCCTCCTTAGATTTGAACTTGAGACTTTCAAACATTTTTAACCTTTGTAGCCTAAGCTCAAACCAAGGTTTATTCATTTATTTGGTATAGGGTACCCTTCACTCGATGAGAAAATGAGTCCAATTCTAAAGGATCACACCTATGGGACTTAAGGAATAATCTAAAAAAAGAGAGGGAAAAATATTCATATTAAATAAAAATCAATAAAATAAGTAAATAAAAATGAAGCAGAAGAACTCAGATTCCAAATGAATAAGTTCAAACTTGAAAAATATTTTTCTGGTTCTCGAAAAATGAGGGGCAATGAACATTATGAACTGTTCCATAATAAAACTAGTTGTTGCTGATATCTTCTTCTCGGTTCCGTCAATATTATAGAGAAGTAAATATTGTAAATGCTGGTATCGTACTTCAAGTAGGCGATGACATTGCTCGTATTCATGGTCTTGATGAAGTAATGGTGGGTGAATTAGTAGAATTTGTAGAGGGTACAAAATGGACATTGCTCTTAATTTGCTGGATAGCGCCCCAACTTCAATTAGTTTCATTTTGATTATAGGGTAGAACCTGTAAATGCTTCTGCTACGAAAAAAAGGTTGTGATAAGAAACGCTCAAATTTTCGTGCTCTTGCTACGGTTAAACGATCCTCTTTGGATAATTCGTTCAAACCAAGAATTTTTTTATGGAAGTCGAATACAAACTGTGGTTCTATGGAAATAGTATTATAAAGTCCCAATTCTCTAGCAAATATAGCCCTTTTCATAATTTTTCTCCACAGTAGCATTCAAGTAATGCCCTAAAAGACGTTTACCCGGTCAGAGATGCTGTTATTTTAATGGTTCATGACACTGTCCGAGACGCTCATTTGGTAAGCTAATGATGGGATTCTTACTCGGTGAACGTAATGCTGACATAGATATACTATTATTCAGTTGGCACTTAACTTGTGTTGGTAAACGATTGTTATATCTTACTTATGATGATCTGAATTGGATAAAAAAAATATTCATTTTCATACCCTTTTCGCTCCCAACGTTGGTATAAAACAGAACATGTAGCTAAAGATTGAGTTTCGATGAGAATGAGAGTTATGATGGGAACGTGAGAATAAAACCTTTATATGTACTTTTATTTACAATATTTTTTTTTATCATCGTAACCACATTGGTTGGGGATGGGAACAAATGTTGATTTACAAGGGACTGGATACCTTCTCCTTTATTAGATGCATTTTTAAACTGTCAGTTGATGTATGGACAAAATAGACAATATCTAGTACAAAATTTTAACAAATTCATGCATATATAAGTGTTAAAATGTATGTAAAAATGATTGAAAGTGAAAATAAATGTAAATACAGGTAGTTGAAGGCAGATGAAGTTAGATCAGAAAATTAACTCATCCAGAGACTTGTAAGTATTTTAGAGACTGTTTGGTTGATTTTTCATTAAGTCATGTATCGCTTAAACTGTCTTTGTAGATTAATCTATCTGTATTGATTGAAAAAGTTTTTGTTAGACAGTATCATAGACAGAAGAATCGTGTTTTTTATTTGGGAATGATAAATTTGGAAACAATTAAGCTTTCTACATAAAGCTCCTCTTAAAAACTTATTAAATAAACCAATTTTTTTATTATTAAACCATTATCAAACAGACATGTAGATCTGAACAAATAAGCTCTGAATCCATTAAAACAGAGCTGGGCTTTAACTAAAGTTGGATCATACAGGCCCAACTCATCACGCCTCTCTGGCTCAGTGTAAATTGGCCCATTAGAAGAGGCCCATTAAACATCCATTTGGGTTTTGCGATAAACCGTCGAGAGAAGTTGTGGCGCGATAATGGTGATTTGGTGAAGTTCTTAAAACCCAACAAAACCGTGGTGATCCTTAACGGCCGTTTCGCCGGTCGGAAGGGAGTCATCGTACGATCATTCGATACGATCACTCGTCGCCGGAATCTCTAAGTACCCGAAGAAAGTGATTCGGAAGGATTCTGCAAAGAAGACCGCCAAAAAGTCGCGCGTGAAAGCGTTCATCAAACTCGTCAATTTATAACCACATCATGCCTACACGTACACTCTCGATGTAGTTCTGAGAGACGTCGTCACCGTCGATGCTCTCCAGTCTCGTGATAAGAAAGTTACTGCTGCTAAGGAGACTAAGGCTCGGCTCGAGGAGCGGTTTAAGACTGGGAACAACAGGTGGTTCTTCTCGAAGCTACGTTTCTGAAACGAACAGGTTGTTCTTCTCGTTTCTAGATTTATCTGTTGTTTGATGATTTAGTTGCTTATAAGTTTTCTAGTCATTAGTTAAATTTTGCTGCTATATTATCGTTTATGTGATTTCAATTTCAATTTTGTTTATGATCTATATGGCTATTGCATCTCATTTATCTGCGATTTGGTGAACTTTGTGTTAATTTTGCTCGATAATTCAGGCGATGTTTCTTATTACCGGATTGAAATATATCGCTCTATTTGGGGTTTTAGATCTAAGGTTGGCAGTGAATGTTGCATTTCATGTTACGAATAGGTTTATCCTGGAAATCACGAAGTAATTGCTACTACTGTTGAATGTTCTTGGCTTAGAAGTTAGGATTTCTGTTTAAGCTTTTCAAACTACTTTCCTATTATGTATGTGGCTTAAGGATTTATATGTTCATATGGTGTGTAGATACGACCAACTACATCGTTTGTTTGGAACTCAAATTCATATTTGTTTAGTAATTCAAAGGGAAGATCATCCTTCAAATAGCTTGTTTTTAGTTCCTTTTGGGGGCCTAGGAACCTTCCTTTCGTGTGAAATTGACCACAATAGCCAATCTGTCCACCTCTATTTACTTTTTAAGGCAATTGTCATTTTATTTACTTAAGGATCAACATTTGCGTAAAGACTTTACATAAGCATCCCCATTTGCATAAAGATTTTTTTTGTTAATCTGGAAATAGGCTTTATGAAAATGCTTAAACTCCGATTAATATAAGAATTTGGTTCAGAAAATGACTAAAAAGTGAATTTGATTGGAAAGATCGACTATTTTGGTCAATTTCCCATCTTTTGTTCACCCTGTCAACCTTCCTGCCCGACGGCTGCAGCCTGCAGGCACTTCTATTGACTTGACTTCACTGCAAGATATTGATCCTTGAGACTAACAAAACACAAAAGTCAAATTGATATTGATTTTAAGTTGATAAGGTGGGAGGCCACATGTAGATTTTATAAGATTATTCGAAGGAAAAATGAAGTTTTGTGGTCATTTTTGCTATGTTCGTAGGTGATAGGCTGCAGCTTGAAGTAGTAATTCTGTCTAATGATATCCTTGACTTCTATGTGTAAAGAAGATAAACTTGGGTACTTGATGCTTTGGATTAGGAGGCTCCCTTGGTATTATCGCTCTTTGTTGTCGATACTGCCGATTTCTCTTAAGGGAAAAGCTTCGCCTAGTTTGAGCATGTGTGACTGTAGACTCGGACCTGTGGACTTGGTTGATCAAAGGTTAGACATCACAATTACTTAGGAACCGATACAAATATTGACCCAGTAACACAAAAGACATACACAACATCTAATAGTTGTATCTTTTTGGTGCCGAGTTAAGTTTTTCTAGAGATTTTGACTTTAGATGCTCTATTTTAAAACAATATAGCATATTTGTTGGAGATGGTCTGATACCAACTTCTAGTGCATAATTCCACTTCCATTGGATTAGGAGGCTCAGGGTTAACCGTTCAAACCTTGGTTGTCAATTATGCCAATTTCTCAATTCGAAAGCTTTGCCTTGTTTGAGCATGTGTGACTGTAGACTCGGACCCATGGACTGAATTGATCAAAGGGGATATCACGATTCACAAGTACTTAAGAACAGGAAAAGTAGGTGCAAACGATAGGATAACAACAAACCCGTAATTTGATGACTTCAAATTCCCATGCTTTTCTGTAGCTGTTCTGTAGGATTAGTGATATCGACAGAATAACAATGAACATGAAAAGAGGGAGAGGAAGATAACATCTTCATTCCAGCTAAACGTACTTCCAGAACAACCCAAATTAAACATTTTGTTTTGTAGATATAGATCATGCCTTACACTGTGTTCTCGAGTCCTTTTTAACAAACGGATGTCATGGAAAGTAGGGAGGAGAGAAAAATCTCGTGTTCTCGAGTTTTTTAGGAGGTTAAAAATGGAAAATGAAGGAAAATAATGCTGATTTTCCAACCAAAACTTTCCTTCCAAATGTGGGAGGAAAAGGGGAAGGAACGAAATAGTAACAACTATAAATATTTATTAAATTACACATCTATCCATCAAATACAATCTCCTTTCAATCTTTTTCAAATAAATAATTTTCTTTTTTTTTCTTGCGTAATTCGAGAACACAACGTTATGGCTCCTTATAGATCACTGGTTTAAGTCTACACTGTAGATTTTCCTCTTGGTTATTATTTTCAGGGCCCTACTGGATTAATCGGAATCGGATATCCTTTCTTAAAAAACCTGCTGTCATGTGTGCAAGATTTCTACAGATGCAAGTGCAATAGCAACTGCATGTTTGTTGTAAGACTTCTTTTGTGGGTCATATATTGGGTGGCTCATGTTCTGCAAATGGATCTCTTAACTGTTGAGAAGGTTGCCCAACTCTTCCAAGGATTTCTGGGTTGCTGACACTTCAATGCATTTTCCTAATAGAAATTGAACACCCCTCTAAATCACGAAGTCCAAAAAACTGAATAAAACCAAACAAACCCAGTAAAATCCATTCGGAAAAGAGGTCTGAACGCTGGATAGCAGTAGACCTTTCCTCTACCTCAGGAGGTAAAGGGGTTGCTTTTGAGAGACCCCGACTTGTTTTATATCAATGTATTGACTTGGGGGATGTTTGATGTAGGGGTCGTCTACCAATTACCTGCAAGAGTCACCACTCTTATTTACCTTATAAGGTAACATTCCTGCCATCAAATTGGATTAATGGTAAACATTTATAACCTGGTGAGGTAATTAAACCAGTTTCCATTTACCAAAGTAAGTTTTTAGTAAAAGACCTCTAACTCTTACAGGGTAAGAGGTGCTTACCGAGTAAGAAGGGATGTTTTTTGACAACACAATGGCCCACAAATATATTGATTGAGATGTTGACCTAGTAAGGAAGTAGTTGCTTTCTAAGGACTAGTGCACAAATCAATGCTTACCTAGACCAAACCTCGTAAATTTTATCCGGGTTCTATTGTTACGCGGTTAGCGCTTACCCAATCTTTATCGATGAATAGCTCATTAGTTGGCCGAACATGAAATAGGAATTTTAGAAAGCTTGTTGCATTAATTGGCGATTTTGATTCATCGTTGTAAACAATAGTAACAAAAGAGAAATCGTTAGATTGGGATTCATTTTGTCTGAACATGTATACTATTATGATGGAGATGGAATATTTAGTAGAATTAGATGCAGAGATTATCCGAATAACATTTATTGAGGATTGGTTGAACCTAACCTTGATTAGGTGTAGACTTTTGTACACAAAAAGGGACCCCAACATTAGTTACGATTGACGTTACGTTTAGGGAAGCAAATGGGGTTGCTCAACGGGTTTGAACATGATGGATGGACTTGAACCCGATTGCCCTTTTGAAAATATTAAATTTAAAGAGGGAACTCTTTGTCAGTTGTTGAATAATTTGGTGCATAATGATTAAGAAGCTCTCATGATATAGTGCAAAATGAAATATAATTGTTTGGTAATTATTTACAATGAAATTAGGGCCTTTAATGGTTAAGGGAGACATATGGTACAAAATCATTTGAAGGTTTTAGAACTATTAAGATGCGGACTTTTTTTTTGCCAAACAAGATTCACTTATATTAAGAGGTAAACAAACAACCCTTAAAAAATAATTTTAAAAGGCTGAAACAAGCCAATAATTAAATTTAGCGACATAAAGAAAGAATAAGAATTTGTGAATCTGATCCCGTAGTCTTTTCGAAATAAACCACATAGAGCATCTTTAAAAGATCTTCTATAAGAAAGAAAAAAGAGGTAAGTTTTTACTTTAAAAGATTCTTGAACGTATTCTATTGATTTAAAAATAGCGGTTTTTATATTTATAGAACTCATTAATTAGTCTGTGAGAGAAATATATTTTTTATTATTATAAAAAATTTAAAATTAAATTTTAGATAAGAGAGATAATATTTTATTAAATATATAACGTGTTTTTAATAATATAATTAAAATATTATAAGTCTTTAAAAATGAAGATTTTGGATTTGATTTTTTATTTTAAAGAATTTTTTCTGAAAATCTGTTGACGAAAGGCCAGACTAGGATGGCTTATTCGGGGATTTCCTTGGCTCGTTAAGGATAGACATGGCAACGGGGTGGGGTCGGGGAAAGTTTTGTAATCCCCGGCCTCGGTCCCACTTTTTAGTAACAACCCCTGACCCTGGCCCCGGTCCGTGCCTAGTACGGGGATTAACATCCCGTCCCGGTCAAACCCCTGTTAGTTTGAGTCTATCAGGGATCCCCGATCTCGGGACCTTTTTTAGCGGGGAATTATCGGCCCCATTCGAGTCGGTGGGTCGGGTTCCTCACCAGATCGAAACAAATCATCATCTTTAGTTAAGGGCCATCCCCAAATATCCAACAATCAACTCAAAACTGATAAGAACATGTGACAATAAAAGAGAAATTATTAAACCATTCTAAAAAAGGAAAAAAGGAAAATAATCAATCCATGTACATAAAATTAAAATGTATTAAACACATCATTTATTATTATTATTATTATTAACAAACAAATATCTAAAAAAATATCAAAGCTCCTCAATCATAAATCGTTATCATCTTGGCTTGCTTTAGAAGCAGGCATCCAACACGCAACAGCAACATAGTGCAGCACAACTGTAATTAACACAAACACATCTATTAGTCCATAGCTTAATAAGATTCTCTTTAATACTAATTTAATGATATAAAAATGACTTATTTAGTTAACAGAGAGCTTTATGTAGAAAGATACGTTTTTTCCAAACCTCACTTTCCAATTAAGAAAAACGCTTTTTCACATATGAAAAAAAAAAATGTGTTTCTTAGTTGGAAAGAATATGTACAGAAAAATCTATCTTTTTGCATAAAGCTTCCTAGTTTATAAAAGGACAAATTACATGAAAAAATAACATATTTTAACTTAATTTTATTTTGGTACCTAAGATGTAAAGTTTTAAAGCTCCTATTTTAGTACCTAACAAAGTTTTAAAGCTTCTATTTTGGTATCTGGTTAATGCTTCAACAAATAATACTGAGTTGAATACCACACCACTCGTCACATTAACATGGTAACTAGATACTACTTCAATCAATTACTTAAATGTTTAAAACTTTACATCTTAGGTATCAAAATGGACGTTTTAAGAGTGTGTTACTTAAAACAAGAATCAAGTTAAAAGTATATTAATTTTTCATGCAATTTGTTCTTTATAAAATAAGTTACTTTGTATATCATTAAGCTACTACTAAATCCATCTATTAAAAAACTAACTAAAATAAAAAATATTCTTAATCCATATAGATAAATTAATCTATTCAGATAAATTAATCAATACAAAGGGCCCAAAAGTCAAACATTCAACCATTATTTTTCAAAAAAATATAATAAAAAATTCAAAAAAAGAAGATTTAATAATTACCATCCTTTCCAGAAGCCATCGCCTCTGCTCTGAGTTTGTATCGGACCCTGGTTTTCAGATTTGGTAGCGGCGCCACCGTCCATCATCGGATAGCCGACCGGCGGTGGTGCCATCACATATGACGCTCCTTGTGGTGCAGGTGGATACGCAACTGCATCGCCATCGTTTCAAACACGATTAAAACCTCAAATTAACCAAACAATATAATCAACATCGTTTACTCCAAAAAAACTCACCTGGAATCTCGTTTTGATCGAATCGACTCATGATGATGATTCTGCTGCTGCTTACGATCACAAATTCAAGTGTGCAGAACAAAAATACACACAACTAACAGAGACAGATATAATATATATATATGTATGTATATATATATATATATATAGGGAGAGAGAGAGAGAGAGAGAAGAAGAAGAAGACAAGGTTTGATTTGTGGAGGTTTAAGGAAGGGGGCTTTGGAATGAGAACGATGAAAGTGGAGAAGGGGGTATTGTAGGTATATATAGAAAAACAGGGGGCGCGAAGTTTAACATGGGAAGGTAAATACGTTTGTATGGTCGGTCGGCGCCTCGGCGGATAGGTTGAGACCAAAAAAGACAACGTAACACGCTTAAGGAAGAGTCCTTAAATAACAATAAAACGCGTCACACGTGTACTCTTTTTTCTAAATTTCTTATTAAAGATAATTGTTACGTGGTTAAATTTGTAACCAAATTAAATGAATTCATTATATCACTCGGGGAGTAGGGTTCGATTTGAAAAATGATTATGGTGAGTGTCGGTGATTAGTATTACTAATATCATTTAATTTTGATGAGATTAATTTGTTGATCAATGTAATCATGATAAATATCGAACAAATAAGGAAGGTGTAAAACGCACACTTATTTGAGTTTATTTTGATTTACCATGGGGGTCCGGGGGCAGCGCCCCCGGTGGCGGGGTCCAAGGGGCAGAGCCCCTGGCTGGGTTCGAGTTGCCAGGTCAGCTTGGAAATTTTTTATTCGGGTACATAGATTCATAACATCGATTCTCTGTTCGAGTTACTGAATTTTATCCGATTGAAATCGAAAACCAGAATTTCTAACAGTGAGTAGCAGATCTTTTAAAGGATTTTTGGTCTAGCGGTATATGAGTCATTAGTCTCTTAAGGAAGTCAAGAGTTCAAACCTCACCAAATTAAACATAGAATTTGTTTATCGACAAGTTTGATTCCTTGTTATGGGATTCTTTATCTTTGTTTTAAATCCTTGGGTTAAATAAAAAAATGGATTTTTGTTCAAGAATGAAATCTTATTGGAATGGATTCGAGCCTATAACCATGAGTTCCAATGCACGAGATCTTGTAGCGCTTACCAATCAATCACGGTTCTGACTAGCACTGATAGACCCCTATAGTATTAGTCTCGTCTGCTTGGCTAGTCGACACAAGTAATGCCCAAAGAGCATTCTTTTCTATTTTCATGTGATGGTGAGGAGGATGTGTGAGTTTATTTGTTCTATTTGTCATATATAAATATTATATACTTTAGAAGAAAGAAAAAAAAAAGAAATTTGGTAATTGGGTTGGAATTTGAATTTACTAGTTTTTGAGGGTTAAAATAGGAAATATATTTAAAGATGTGTCTGCAATTAAGGTAGAATGTATACAAATCTTACTTCCACTTAAAATGTCAAATTTAAATGGAAACAACTGTAGCGTTTTAAAAGGAGTGTTATGACAATTGTCGTGGTACACAATTCGTCTACGATGCCACATTAACCCCCCAAGCAACATCCGGTTTGCGGGCTGCTAGGTGATCAAAGTCGCTAAAGGAAGCTAGTAATTTTATTGTTTTTATCAATACTCAACTTCGTTGGTCTGGTCTCTTTATGACATGTTATTTGATCTTTTTTATACTTCTTTTTGAACCAATGATCCAATTAGAACCAACAGACTATAATCAGATATCAAATTGTAATCGGATCGAATCGGATCTAAAATTTCAACATCCAAATCGGATCGGTCTTCTTGGACGACAATCCAACATCCAATAAAATCGAACCGATCCAACCCAATGACCATCCAATTCCTCATCCAATTAATAACTATAATATAATTATTAACATTTTACAATATTTTTTAGTTGATATTTATGTATATTGTTTTTTAATAACTTAAGAAAATATATGAATAATTGGTTGAGTATTGGATCAAAAGATTGGAAAAATCCAATCCAATGGATAACCAATAGTAACATTCAATGGATGAAACCGATCTAATCCAATCATCCATTGGATTTGGATTGGATCGGATGTCCATTGTTAATCGGATCGGATCGGATGACAAAATCCAACATCCAATTAATGATTTGATCGGATCGGATCGAATCGGATCCACCTAAATCCATTGAATTTCAACCGATGAACACCCCTACCAATAATAATATTCGATGGTTTGGGTCAACTACTCCATAAATTTTTATGAAAGGAATGTGATTTGTTTCCTTTTCTTCTTCACATTTAAAGAATATTGAAAAGTATTGAAAATGGATGCTTCACATGGACTTTGTAAACTACATTTGACAAAAGAACCATTAAATACCAAGGTTATGAAGAAGAAAATAAGATTCATATCACATCATCATAATTTCAACTGTCTTGTTGATTCCTTTCTTAATCATCAAGTTTGGTTTACAAGATTTGATAAAATTTAAAAATTGCATTCCATTTTAATTTCTCCTTTGATTTAAAAAAAAAAGACGGTGGTGTTCAATTGATTTGAGCTTGGCCTCCAAAGGTTAAAAGTGTCTGAAGGTCCTAGGTTCGAATCTAAGAATAAATAAAAATCTCATTGTGTCCACGGAGGTTCAAATACGGTGACTCTGGGCTACCCGCGAAGCGGGTGGTCGCCCTAGGATTAGTCGGCTTGTATAGTGGGTTGGATATCCAGGTTAATAAAAAAACAGAACTAAGGGGGTGTTTGGGATTGCTTATTTTAGATGTTTTTTGACTTATTTCAGTCTGACACCGGTGATAAGCTAAATGCTAGTGTTTAAATGAGGAAAAATAAAACTGCTTATAGCGGTGCCAAACTTGTAATAAGCAGTTTTTGATAAGTTAATCTTTCTTGATTTATGAAAAACTGTTTATTATCAGTTTACCATTTTAACCCTGTTTTATGAATGTTTGTTAATTATTAATCTTATTAATATAAATTGTTAATCTTATTGAGATAAATTTTTGTCAAAGATATTATTATAAATGATGAAAAATAATTTTTTATATGTTAAAAAATCAAATAAGTCAATAATATGGAAGACTGTCCTTTTTGGTCATTTTACATATATAAGCAAAATTTGCCAAACACTAAAAAAAACTTATCAGCTTATTGTTTTTTGGTACCGCTATAAACTAATTCAAACACTTTTTACAAAATTATGGTTTGATACCACATAAGTTAATAAGCACTTTTAAAAAAAAAAAACATAAACTGTTTTAAATAAGCAATCTCAAACACCATCTAAAATAATGGGATTTGAGATTTCAATGAAATCCAATAAATATTGGATTTAGAAATCTTATGGGTAATTGTATTTCACGTGATTTCATATGATTTGTTTGTAACAATATTTTAAAATATGTTAAAAACATTAGTTTTATGTATTAATCAATTAATAAAAACTAATTTAATCATTTGTTATAATTACATACTTTGATGGAATCGAACGGTTAAGTAACAATTAAGGTTGTTTACATTAGTTTTAAGCTATTCAGATTCATATTATTTCATTTGTTAGCATTTATTTTCTATATCTGTAATCGGATTCAATTTGTCGCAACGTTGTAGACTTGTAGTTCATTTTGGGCCATTTTAGATCCCTCATGATCAACATTACCATGATGAGATCATTACAAATCCTACATAACCTTATGACGAATATAAAGTCGTTTTTTCATAACTCAGAAAGTAATGAATTTAATTATAATCTCATTTAACGTACAATCTCATCATTTTCTTTTCAAATATATAAACATAATCAGGTTATTTTTCAATCATGATACAATCACTCATCATATGATTGATTGAAACTTCAATATGATATTACTACACAAAAGTACAAACTGAATATGTACAAGAAAGCTGAGGTGTCTTGTATCCATCTAATATGTTTGTCGTTACCAATAATTCGCGATCTGCCGATTCTTGGCCTATTGGCATAAGGCATCTCTATGTTCAAGCCCGACCCTACTAGGGTCTTCTAAGAAACAGTCTTTTTGTATTTAGGCATATATGAGGTTTGTGTATATTATATCTGTTACATCAGCTAGACTTGGTTCATTTATATCATGGGTTCTTTTGTAGAGTAATTTAAGATCTATTTTAGAAAAAAATATAGAAAATCGGTTTTGGATTCCATATATTATCACACGGTATCAAAGTAAATGTCTATCATTCTAGAGACTTGACACTTTAGGGCACTATATGCTTGTCTAAGTCTTCCCTCGACACTCTGGGACAACTATGCCCATCTAGCCTCCGTTGACGGAAGGAGGCGTGTTAGAGTCCTACATCAGTTACACTTGAACCATTTCTCCTATGTGTGTGTGTGTATATATCTATAGACTTGGGATCCTGTAACACCCAGAGTTTTTCGTGAGACCCGTAAGACCAATTCTCAACCCTTGGATTAGATCTACAATCTGAATATTCATAATCACAAAATTGTCATGAGATTTCTCAATAATCACAAAATTGCCACCGTGCAACTTTAAACCATTAAATCTTTAGTTTATAAAGTTGATCAATGAACATAAATTGGTCTTACAGGTCTCACGAAAAACCCTTGGTCTCATGTGAACCCAACCCTATATATATATATATATATATATATATATATATATATGTGTGTGTGTGTGTGTGTGTGTGTGCACGCTGAAACCTATCCTTTTAGAGAGTAATTTAACAGGTTCCATATATTCTCACAATACCTCTAGATATATTGGTTTGGTTGGTTTTATTTATGTCAGAGCCTAACATTCATTGCAGACAGACACATAATCAAAAAAGGACAAAAACTGAATGGGTGTTCAGTCAAAGGTATTAAGCAGTAATCAATATGAATGAAAATAAAAGAAACTGTTTGGTTTTATATTGATTGCCTACAACAGATACTTATCAGGAATCTTACCTTCGAATGGGATATACTGAATCGATTTGATTCGGTTTTTATTGTATTTTATGTTGGAAAGCAACATTCGTGGCAGCTAAGACACATATAACACAAGCAAAAGGCACAAAAAACTGGTTATGATTGCCTTTAAAGAATACTTATTCAGGAATCTTGGGAACTAATCTGGGAATGCTATTCTTACATTACACGAATGATACAAGAAATCTACATAATCTACGTGGTTGTCTGTAAAAACAAATCGAAACAACTCACCAGAAAGAAGCTAACAATCCCGCATTCGAAGACCTCAACTATCAAAAAAACCAGGACCCGCACGTGACAGTAGTTCCTTGCCGGCATCCTCCCCCATCAGAATCATATCGTCATAAGCATACGCTCCTTTTCTAGAAGTTTCCAGTACTGAAATGAAGATCAAAACACCTTTAGAAACTAACGCTTATGGTAATTTGTCTTGGGAGATGTTTGGTTGATTTTCAGTTAAGTCATGTATGGATAAAGCTGTCTTTGTAGATTACTCTGTCTCTATAGATTGAGAAGGTTTTTGTTTGGGAGAGCTTTTTAATAGCCAATTTCTATATCATTAAGCCACTACCAAACAGTCATGTATAGCTGACCGAATAAGCTGTGAGTCACATTTCATTAAGTTGCTAAGAAAAAGGTCTTTAGTTACTATTTAGTGTAAGAAAGTTTCAAATGTCCTATTTTATGTAACAAAGGTTCAAATTTTCATTTTTTTCAGCCATTTTGACAGTCTGGTAACATTTGATGACATGGGTGTCATGTCAAGTTTATCATCCACTTTGCTGTAAATTTTTCTTAAACAAACATCCATGTCGTCAAATGTTCAAGATCTGCAAATTACTGGTCAAAATAGGTACAAAATAATAGGACTTCAACCAAACTTTATTGCATTTTGATGCATTTTGCTTTAACTGTTTTTATTAGGTTTTATTATACCTTTAGTTCCATCTGGTGAGGCCACCAACCCTCTAAAGAGGCAATTACCATCCTCATCTCTACAAGCATATCCAGCTATGGGTGTCCTACAAGATCCATCAAGTGTCAATAGGAATGCCCTCTCACATGCAACTGCTAATCTTGTTTCTTCATGGTTCAACTTTGCTATGTAATTAGCCTGCAAGGTGGAATAACGTTCGGCATAAGTATTTCATGTTACATTCCCACCTCAGCTAGATATGAACCATCAAAACTGTATACATATATATATATATAGAGAGAGAGGGGGGGGGGAGGTTTAGGGGAAAATCCCCCAAAAAATTAAAAACTGAGGAACACCCTGATAACAAGTATGGGGGGAGGCCTAAAGTCTTTCACGTTGACCCGGCACGACATAGCGTTTGCTGTGAATCAAGTCTTTCAGTTTATGCATGCTCCTCGACAAGCACATCTATAAGCTGTCAAAAGAAGACTTGATACTAAGAGAACTATTTGYGATGGGTTCTTCTACCCAAATAACTCCTATGCAGATGGGGCTRGAGATCCAGACACCAGCTCCTGCTCTGCGTGTAAAGTAAGACAATGAAAAAGAAGGCTTCGCTTTGTTGCCACTGCCGCTGTCTTCGGGTGAAATATCATTTTACTAGTGCCGGTAATGGAGTCTTTCTAGATAAGACCGAGGCTTTTGATAGCAATATGGGGGAAGTTCCCATCWGGCAACAACGGTTCTGCCTGACCCTACTTAAGCATGCATATTATGTCAGTGAAGACTTGGTGTGAAGCCTTGGAGCTTACGTTAGAAGAGCAAAAGGCCGGGGGCTAGGGTGAGCTGAGGGGGGGGGGGAACAGCGTAAGTCCATTAATCTGCACGATATGCATATGTACATACAAGTAATTGAAGTTGTTTCCTGGTTTCTATGCATGTGTGCATGTTATGCACATGTGTATACCTGACCATATATACCTCCCCTTTCTCTACAAGGGATTTTAAATAGAGATTTAGGTCTATGTGAAAGGAGGGGTTGATTTAGTTTCAACATATATGTTAACATATGACATATCAAGTGAGTTGTATCCAATGGGTGATCTTGTTATATATTACTATTTCACCTTACAATCAACATCACAGCTGCATCATTATTAAACCAAACCAAACGAACCCAGTATATCCCATCCGGAGGTGGGAAGGGTAAGATGTATGCAATAATGCAGACATGACCTCTACCCGCATCTACCCCAAAGAGAGTGAAGACCCCGGCTTGTGATAAGTGTGACAAAACATAAATATATAAATCAATCAAACAATCAAATGAAAACATGAGGTTTATGTTGATTTCTTCGCGTTTGCAATCACCTCAAGTTTAGGACCTGGGAAGCAGTATGCAGAGCATTGAGAGTAAATTTAGCAGAACTATCCAATGTAGATACTCAGAAGCAGCCATAAATCCAAACGACAAAAGGATCCAAGGGGATAACAAAACCAGAAATGAAGGCAATCATATGGTAAAGAAGAGATTAGTAACATACCATCTTATCGTCATCACTTCGACAAGCTATCCCAATTGCACCTTGTGCAACAGCTGGAAGCATGTCGTCGATAGAAAGAATGGCACTCACATGCTCAGTCATACTTAAGCGTTTGAGTCCAGCTAATGCTAATAATGTAGCTTGGACGACCCCTTCATTTAGTTTCTTTAACCTAGTCTGCACGTTGCCTCGAAAATTTTCCAGCACCTACCATCGATTTTAATCAAACCATATTAGGGTAAGCAACATAAGAGGATACTAGCAAAGCCAGGTAACTACATCACAACTAATATAGATATACCAAAGGGCCATTGGCCTAGTGGTACACGGGGTTTACCAGTAGAGCCCAGCCTCTAAGGAGTTCAAGGGTTCAAACCTCAGTTTGTTGAGGAGTGTATGTGAGTATTTGTTGTATATAAATATATATACTTCAAAACAAAGCCAAAGCAGACATTCCAGACATTAATTAGGCAGCAACAACAAAGCTGAATTCCATAAGAAAATAAATGAATCATATCACATGCTATACTTACAGAAAGTGATGGATATCTGTTAAGTAGTTGAGACTTCCTTCGGAGTGATGCAGTACCAACAACACTTCCAGCTGGAAGATCAGCTAATGAACTTGCATTCAATGAAATAAAAGCATCACGGACGTCCTCACGAGGAAGATTGCAGGGCAAAATAGTTTTCTCGGGCAAATAAGTAGGAACATCTTTCATTGAATGAACAGCAATGTCGATTTCACTATTTAGAAGCGCCTCATCTATTTCTTTAGTGAACAAACCCTTCCCACCAATATCTGCAAGAGGTTGACTCAATATTTTATCACCTGTTGTTTTAATCACCACAATCTGAATAGCCCCCTCTTCTGCCAACTCGCTACTAGTAGCCATGAGTTTATCACGTGTCTCATAAGCTTGTGCAAGGGCTAATGGGCTGTTCTACACAAGAAATATAAACCAATTCCCATGAGACAGCTGATAGATCAGGACAAAAAACAGCATCAGCAAAATGCACACGCCAAAACGCATACATCAACGTATAGAGAATTCAGCATTCATGGTCAAATTGGGAAAATGCTAACAACAACAAAGAAGCAATTCATGGATGTACAGATTCACAGTTCCACATTTCTGTTGAAGAGTCTGTAATTAAGGTACTTAAGGTATTATAATCAATATACTATCTCTGTTGGTCTCTCCATGATTCTAAATACCGTTGATTGCAAATGAACACAATGAATGCTTCCAGAATTGCATTACTCACAAATTTCTACAACCATAAGATACAAACACTGATGAAGCCATGAAGGTACAGCAATGATTACATAAAATGATCAAACGAACCATAAGCCACAAGATTCATCTCTTAACCATATTCTAGTAAATCATCAGTTAATTCCTCCAGAACAATAAACAACCAACAGAAACATTTCGAAAAAATTCAAAGCCATAACACCATAACAATTAAGTGTATGAAATCAAAAAACATCAATGTACCATCTCTGTTGGTCTCTTCATGATTCTAATTAGCGTTAATTGCAAATGAACACAACGAATGCTTCCAGAATCGCGTTACTGACAAATTTCTTACAAACATAAACTACAACACTGATGAAGGTACACCAATGATTACTTGAAACGATCAAACGAACATAAAACACAAGATTCAGCTTTTAACCTTATCCTAGTAAATCATTTCGAAACAATTTAAAGCCACAACACATAACAGTTAGAAATACGAAATAAAAAAAATCACCGGCAATGAAACAATTAAACAGTACCTTCCTCTGGTGCCAATTCGGATAAGCGCGACCTTCGTCTGCGTCTGTTGCTCAACGGCAACAGAAGCCTTAACCACCGTCAGTTTCCGGCGTTGACATAGCACCTGAGATTTAAGGCACGGTAGAGAAAATCCAGTAGCGGAAACAGATCTGGAGCTGAAATTAGCAGAAATTAGGGCTTGATTCGAGGGATTCAAGGTCTTCATCGAGAAAGATTTGGGGGAGAAAGAGATCGGTAGCAGATGTCGTTGAGGATACGGGTTTAACGCTTTAGTCACGCCGTCGGCTTATCCTCCAGCTCGTCAAGTAATCTGGCCACGTCAGCTGCGTCCCATTCGTAAAAGGATAGTAATGGGACCCACAATTGTCCAGTTGGCAACTTTGAAATGGGCCGGCATCAAAGCCCACTTGTCCAACATATAATGATTCGGTCAATAAGACAACTTCAGGACTTGCACCTTATTCATTCATCCCAACATCATTATTTGATACCCATTTTTAATCATATAAAAAAATGACTTATTTAATACGTTTTTATAAAAACTTGCAGAAAACCAAGCTTTTTCAAACCAACCCTCCCGATTAAAGAATACGCTTATTCCATTCTCAATCTGTCTTTAAGAGATTAATCCACACAAATAACTTTATTTATTCAGAAAACCCATTCAACAGGAGTCTTTATAGTAGCTTATGGGCCGGATTGGTGCACATAGCAAATATGGGTTCGAAATGGCTAAGCCCAGTCCGTTGTAATTGGGTTCAGTGGCCCATAACGTTTGAAATGGGCCATATTACCATCTTCTGATCTGAGGAGAACAAAGGGTTGAAAAAAGCAAAGTATGTTGTGAACTAGATACTGAAATAATTATAATATAACCGCAGATAAATTTGATGAAAATACAACTTAATCTCTTCTTATTTCTACCCTGTATAATGTAATTTAAAATCTTTAGTTTGGTATCTCAAATGTAACATCTCAATATTTAAATAAAAACATATAGAAAATCTTCAGTTGGGTTCACGTCAGACCAACCTGTTTTCGTGAGACCATCTTTTTACACTTGAAAATTCACCACAAAACGCTGTGAAGGTAAAAGAAAGCCGAACCTTCACAGCAAAAACACTGTGAAGGTTACCTTCACAACGTTTAGTTGTGAAGTTTCAAGTGCAAAAAAGTGGTCTCACGGGTCTCACGAAAACAGACTGGTCTCACGTGA